CCATTCTCCTGCCTCAGCCTCCCGAGTAGCTGGGATTACAGGTGCCCGTCACCACGCCCGGCTAAGTTTTTGTATTTTTAGTAGAGAATTCAGTAGTGAATTTTAGTAGTGAATTCAGACCCTCCTCTGGATCTGCCCCAGGAGCCCAGGTCCCACCTGAAGCCCGAGGTCCGGGGCTGAGCTGGGAGTGTTCGTGCAGACAGAGCTGGAGGCCAGTGAGAGGCAGCAGGGAGCAGGGCTGGCAGGAGGGAGGCAGACAGGCGTCCTCTCAGCGTGGGGCTGGGAGCAGGATGGCAGGGCCAGGCAGGGTTGCGTGGAAAACTGTCATGGCCCTTTCAGGGAAAGAAAGGGGGGAGAGAGGGACAGTGCCTGGGTGTGCCCACAGGAGAGGCTGGGCCCACGTGGTTTTGCGTGGCAGCTGCAAGGCAGTGTGGGTGGGGCCAGGATTCTGTGCTTTCAACAAGCCCTCCAGGTGGCTCATTTGTGGTCCGCGTTTCGTCCGCCTTTGTGGGCAGGTGTGGGGCCAGGCCTGGCTCCCCCGATGCAGCCGGATCCACACGGCAGCCTTACCCCCTTTTTTTTTTTTTTTTTGAGATGAAGTCTGTTGCCCAGCTGGAGTGCAGTGGCATGATCTTGGCTCACTGCAACCTCTGCCTCCTGGGTTCAAGTGATTCTCCTGCCTCAGTCTCCTGAGTAGCTGGTATGACAGGCGCCCACCACCACTAGTTGGCTAATTTTTTATATTTTTAGTAGAGATGGGGTTTTGCCATGTTGACCAGGCTGGTCTCGAACTCCTGGCCTCAGGTGACCTGCCTGCCTAGGCCTCCCAAAGTGCTGAGATTACAGGCGTGAGCCACTGCGCCTGGCCCAGCTTTCCCATTTCACAGAGAAGGAAATGGAGGCACAGGAGCGAACAGCAGCCAGCGGTCCACTTGGAACCCAAGACCTGATCTGACAAAGCGACTCCTGCAGGCTTCTCTGCCGCTGCCGCTACATGTCAGGGGAGCCAGACCCAGGCTCTCCCTGCAGGGCTGTCCTTGGAGCCCTGAGGTGAGGCCCTCCTAGGAAGGCGTTCTCATGTCATGAATACACTGTGTACCCCCCTCGTCCTCCTAGTCTGGAAGCTCCCCAAGTCCAGGTGTACACTTCCAGGAGAGGTCTTGGGGCTCCCACCTTTGTGAGGGTGGCCTGAGGATGGGCTCCTCTCTGTGCCACAATGAAGGGGACCAGGGACCCCAAGCCAGGCACCTGGGAGACCACACCTAGGTAGGGGTCGTGGGGGCCCAGCTTCCCCGAGGAAGAGAACCCAGCGCTGTGTGCAGAGGTGCCCCCAGCCGAGCAGGGTGTGAGGACTGATACTGGCCTGATGGCTTTGGCATGAAGCCCAAGGGGAGCAGTGGGGAGCAGGCCCAGTAGGCCCGTCCAGGGATGGGGCCGTGGCTGGCCATGGCTGGAGCCTCTTGTGTGAAGACGGAATGCCGGGGCAGGAGGGATGAGACGTGTGGTGCTGGCCACAAGGCTGGGTGGTGGAGGCGCTGCCTTTGTCCAAACCCAGAGGCCCAGGAGCAAGGACAGATGTGGGCTTCCCTGGCAGGATAGAAGGGGGTAGGGGACCTCGGAGGATTGGGTGAGCCTGACACTCACGGGACTCTGTGGCAGTGGACAGGAAGTGGGGATGAGGGCTGGGCAGGGGGCACACCTGAGCCTCTTGGGTCTTTGGCTCAGGTGGACTTCATTTATTTATTTATTTTGGAGATGGAGCCTCGCTCTGTTGCCCAGGCTGGAGTGCAGTGGCACGATCTCAGCTCACTGCAACCTCCGCCTTCCGGGTTCAAGCGATTCTCCTGCCTCAGCCTCTCCAGTAGCTAGGATTACAGGCACGTGCCACCACGCCTGGATGATTTTTTATGTTTTTGGTAGAGACAGGGTTTTACCATGTTGGCCAGGCTGGTCTTGAACTCCTGACCTCCAGTGATCTGCCTGCCTCAGCCTCCCAAAGTGCTGGGTGTGAGCCACTGCGCCCAGCCTCCTTCTGGCTCGTTCTGACTCCTGCCCTACTTGTGCCGTGACCCTCCCAGAAACACCCTGGTGACCTTTGTCACTGGGATGGTGGCGGGTACAAGCCTTGACCCTCCTAGAAACACCACGGTGACCTTTGTCACTGGGATGGTGGCAGATACGAGCTGGCAGGTGACCATTATGGCTGGGTTTCCCCAGGGCCCCAGCGGGGAGGCTGGACTTCCCTCATCCAGGGAACAGAGCCACAAGACACCTGGGCTGACGGAAGGTGCCTCGCCCGAGGGCCTTCCTGCCCAATGTCACCAAATCTGACCACTGGGAAACTTGCATCTGCAGACCTTTTAAGACAACTGGCCCGCATTAGTCAAATAAGTCAATCCTAAGAAAGATAGGAAATAAGAAGGGGTGGCCGAGACTCTCTCCTCCATTCAAGGAGACAGGAGAGGCACCCAGGGGATCGTGGTCCTGGGGCTACGAAATGCTCTGAAAACATCTCTAGGACAAGCGGAAGATCTGGATATTGGAAAATATTGTATTGTTAGAAAATTTGGGGGCTGGGATAACAGGGTTGAGTTTTGTGGCAGAATGTCCTTAGGAGAGACGAGCTGAGGGATTTAGAAGTGCGGTATTCTGATGATCACAATCTACTTTCACATGTTTCAGACAGGCGTGCGCATGTGTGCGTGTATGAGAAAGTGTGGGCACAGGATAAAAGAAGGTGAAGAATTTAGGCTAAGAGCATGTGGGTGTCCATCAACTATTCCTCCACCCTCTTTGTCATTTGAAATCTTTCAAAATTTCAAAAGGCAGGGAGGGAAGAGGTTAATGAGAATGTAACTCAGTGGCGCCTGCCTCCCCCTCAGCTGGGTGTTCTTCCCAAATACTGTCACTGATGATGAATAAATGGTTACTCTTTATGGTGATGACAAAGTCCCATTTTTTCTTTCAGAATGCCTTATTTTATTTTTTATTTTATTTTTTTGAGACGGAGTCTCGCTCTGTCACCCAGGCTGGAGTGCAGTGGCCGGATCTCAGTTCACTGCAAGCTCCACCTCCCGGGTTCACACCATTCTCCTGCCTCAGCCTCCCGAGTAGCTGGAACTACAGGCACCCATCACCTTGCCCGGCTAGTGTTTTTTTTTTGTATTTTTTAGTAGAGACGGGGTTTCACCGTGTTAGCCAGGATGGTCTCGATCTCCTGACCTCGTGATCCGCCCGTCTCGGCCTCCCAAAGTGCTGGGATTACAGGCTTGAGCCACCGCGCCCGGCCTCAGAATGCCTTCATGTGACTGTCCTCACTGAGCCCCCTGCACCTGTGCCACGCACCCCGCCCTTGGGACTCGGCGTGAGACCCCCACTGGGAGGGGCAGCTATGCCACAGAGACCACAGCACGCCCACCACTCCTTGTCAGAGTTTATTTCATCGGCTAACATTCATTCTCGACCTAGACAAAAACAATTAGATGATTATGACTTGCTTTTCCATCATCAACTCATTTTTTTTTTTTGTTATGAATAACCAAAACATTTCTTCTCAACACTTTTTTTTTAAGAAGAAGCTATAAATAAATAAAGCTTTAAACGATCCTGGGTTCAAGTTAAACAGTTCCAGTTCCCGAAAAGTTCACAGCCTTGTTTCGTGGGCAGTTCTGCTGTTCCTGGCTTCCCCCTCCAGGAAGGGATGTTTGCAGGCCTGGGGGTCCTGGTGACTAAGCTGTTAGCTCCACTGCCTGCCTGCTTCCGTCCTCGCAGCCCTGGGAGGGCCCTGGTGGACAGAGTTCTTACAATTTAGGAGATGCTGCTGGCCAAGGAACCGTTGACCCAAAGCAGGTGGCCTGAACGGGAAGTGCCAGGCTGGAGACTTGGGGGCTGAGGGCACTGCCAGTTGCCACCACCTCGGGACACCTCAGCCTGGCGCGGGCCTGAGACTGCTTTCCAAATGCAGCGGAGAGACTGAGATGAGACCCGTGCTTCCGTGTGAGTTGGGCTGCGGGGCATAAGTTAACACATACTCCAATATGTACAAAACAACCTGCGCTCGGGCCTGTGCACCCAGGACGCCCGTGGCCAGGTGAGGCCACCTTGAGCCAGGCCTCTGGCTGGGTATCCACCTCCTGCCAGGAGGCCAAGGTGCCCCATGTGGCTTGTGCAAGACTCCAGGCTCCCCTGAACATGCTCCTCCTCCTCCCAGGAGTGCACCCACCCCAGTGTCGAGTGTCCAAGCAGATTCCCATTGACCCTGACCTCCCTTTGAAAGAACCACACCGCTACATCCCCTTGGCACTCACTTCCTTCGTGCGATGCATCCACCCAGGGAGGTGACCCTGCGCTAGCACGCTGCCCACCCTACCCTGTTGACCACCCTGTCCTTGGACCCCAAAGCAAAATGGGGCCAGTGTAGGCGGCCTGAGGGTGGGGCCGTATGCCACACCTCCAGCGGTAGCAACCTCATCTGACCACACCTTCGCCTTCCTGTGCTGCAGAAGGCGCTTGCTCCCAAGCCCATGGTGACCCACATCTCCACCCCACAGTGGGGCAGCTGTGGTGGCTGAGTGAAAGCTGGGGCAGGAGACAGGGCCCCTGCCAACCCCAGCCAGGCAGCTTGCAGAGCCCACTGCCCGCATCGGAGTCAGCCTGCGGCCTGAGCACACCCGTCTGCCCTCTGGGGGACCCAGGGCGCCTGCGGGGGCCCTCCTAGAGACACCAGCCTGGCCTCCTAGGCATAAGGGATGGGGACAGGGGACAGGGCACGTGCTTACAGCGGATATGCAATGTGGCTTTTACTAGGGCCACTGCAGCCAGTGGGGAACCCTGCGGGGCTGCTGGGAACAGAACTTGGCCAGCCTTTTGCCAGGGGGTGGGCAGCATGGGGAAACGCAAGGAGAGCCAGGGTGGGGAGGGTTGAGTATCTGGTGTCAGGGAGGCCACCTACAGCTGTTTTGTCAAGGCTAGTTGAGAATCTGAAAGCTCGAGTTCCTGTTCCCGGCCATCCAGAGCCACTGTGGTCCGAGGGTGTGGCTCGGTCCCACGCTCCAGCCGATGGAGGCCTGATGAACTTAATCCACACGCTGGTGGCAGCAGTGGTATTTGAGCTCTTGAGTACGTGTCTCAGTGATGGGGCTGGGCAGCCTGCTAGCAAATCCCAGTGGGTCAGAAAGGAGAACTGAGGCAGGCAAGCGCTCGGTCCCCAGCCCTTCCAGTCTGAGCCACGTCTGCCTGGGTGGTCACCTCCAAAGGCCAGCCAGGGACTCAGGCACAAGTGGCAGCATCTCCGGCCAAAGCCTCCCCACTCCTGGGCTGCCAGTCGGCCCACAGAGGGCCGGCAATGCAGCTTGGGCCCACTCCCCAAACCCCTCCTTGGTCTGAGGACTGTGGGGAGTGGGTGGGGCCTGAACATCAGCTTTGGCCTCCTGACCCAAAGCATGGAGCAGGACCATGGACCAGGGCGGAGTGGGCTTCCTGGGGACTCGAGTCTTCTCTGCCTCAGATGGGGTGGGCCCTGACCTTGAGGGAGCTACAGATGGGTGAGCTGGGGGCTCCCCAGGCCTTGGGGCATCGGGGGCAGCCAGAAGGGGAGGGCCTATGGGATGGCCTGGAGCCGGGGCAGTTGCCAGAAGCCGGTCTCACTCCTAGTAGCCTGGAGAGAGGAGCTAAGAGCGAGTGCCGTGTGCATAGCTGGTGAGGGGCACACTCCTGGCCTGGCAGGTCCACGTTCTGCTGTCCTTGTCTCTTGTGCAAACCTTCAGTTTTTGTGATAAATCCAAGGGGGCCAGGAGAGCAGGCACAACCCCTGCTCTGGAGGCCCTGCCCTGCCCGTGGCATCCTCCGAGCATGCTTTCCTCTGACCCGCTGGCTGCACCTGTCGATTCCTCAAGCCGCCATCCCCGCCCAGCCCCACTATGTCCCTGTTCTGTTTATTTTCAGGACGCAGCTATCCCTGTGGAGCAGGTGTGGGACACTCTCCCCGTGACAGTCTTGGGTGGACCTGTTGTCTGTCCTGTTTTACCCCCCACACCCCCCAAGAGGCCTCCCTGTGGCCACCACCGCCACTACCACTTCTCAATGATGTGGCTCATGTAGTCCTCGGTGGGCACGCGGCCCGGCTCGTCAGCGTCCTCCCGCGGCAGCGCCTCCTTGGCCCGGTGCAGCAGGCGCTCCTCGCGGCTCCTCAGGCGCTGCTCCCTGCGCTCCAGCTGCCGCTTGTACTGGTAGCGCTGCTGGAAGAGGTCCTTGGCGTAGTCATACAGCTGCATGTCCAGGTCGTTGAGCTCCTCGATGCGCCGGATGGTGTCCTCGTCCACCTCCACGCCGCCCGCCCGCGTGCTGTTGTACTGCATGAAGGGCCGGATGAACTTGAGGTTGAACGTCCGCTCGAACAGGTACTGCGTCTTGCGCTGGAACTCGGTCAGGCCGAAGAAGGCCATGCCCCGCAGGTTCTTCTTGGCGCTCTCCAGCAGCAGCTGGGCCCGCTTGCCCTCGGGGATGAAGGACAGGTTGTAGCAGCCCACCAGGCTCAGGTCGGCCAGCATGCGCACCTGGCGGTTGTTGGCCAGGTTGTACGGGCAGTCCATGAACTCCTGCAGCGTGCAGCCCGACCAGTCCGTGCCCTCGTAGCAGGGCGGCAGCTCCTCGGGCGTGGGCGTGCGCCCGTCACACATGTGCAACGACGTCTTCCACGTGGCACCCCTCTGCACGTGCCGCCACTCACTCAGGTAGCGGGACACGGGGTCTCGTAGCAGGGTGATGTAGTAGAACTTCCTGCAAGGAGACGGGGAGAGGAGGTGAGGGCTGTGGCAGCATGAGGGGTGCTACCAGGGCTGCTCGGAGTCAAAGTCCCCACTACAGGGGTCTGGGCTTCACCTCTGAGGCCAGCCAACGCCTGCATTTAGCTCTCCAACAGCCGTTTCAAAACCCGGTATCAGAGATGCCAAGGAGCACGCCACGGCCACACGGCTCCCCAGGGTGACCGCCATGGCGCCCTGCAGTGCCTGGCCTGGCTCCTCTGGAGGGACAACCTGACTTTTCCTGCTGGTGGGTGAAGCCGCCAATACCTCATCCAGGGAGGTCCCGGAGCCACAGCCGCCTGAGACCAGCAGTGTTCGCCAGCTGTTTACAGCCTGGGCACGGTGCCACCCAAGGAGCCACTCAGCAGGAGCAGAGGGTGGGCAGAGGTCAGGGAGGGTCACCTCCAGTCCCAGTCCCAGGGTCCTGCCAAGGCCTGGTGGTTGGGCCCAGTGGACCATCCAGCCCAGGACCCCAGGGGCAGCCATGACTTACACAGTCTCCAACTCTACTTGGCGGGCTGTCCCCCAGGACAGGGGGGTGCACAAGGGAGAAACGACCCAAGGACGGCTCCACCTCCCACCGTCCCCTGCACGGCTGGAGCCCAGCATGGAGCATGCCTTTGCCAGGCTCGCGATGACGCTGGGCTGGAGGCGTCAGGACACTGGACAGGTGGGTAAAATGTGGCGGCAGCTGCGGATGTACCCGGTGTGTGTGTGTGTGTGTGTGTGTGTGTGTGTGTGGGGTCAGCCCCGGGGAGGCTGCAGTCATTCTTAGACGGTTCCTCCTCCTGGCTCCTGCCTGTGCCGGGGTGGGTGGGCCTCAGGTCAAGGAGCACCAGGGCCGGGCAGGCAGCCTAGGAGCCCACAGGGCCCCTCACTGCCCGGGGGAGCAGCTCCAGAAGGGCCCTGACTCACCGCCAGGCCTCCCCAGATGGCAACATGGAAGTGTACCCACACTGCCCTCCTCCTCCCCTCACACTGCCC